GTTTTGTTAAAAGATCACGTTTCCAGGAGTTGGCAGTTTGTACACAGAAGGCGCGTTTTTGTTTGAACAGAGGAAGAAGATGAAGTAGCTGGGCTGGGCCTGGCTACTTCATGCTTTTGACACACCCACTTTCAGTTTCACACCCCCTGGCCCATTTCTTTGTATATTTATTATTTTTGCATTTTTATTTCATTTCTGACTTTATTATTTTATTTCCAAACATAAAAAATGCCTAAAAAATATTTTCATAAATTTTTATATTTATTTGGTATTTATTTTATTTATTTCCAACATTAAAATGTTTAAATAGTTTATATTATTTTGTTTAAAACTTAAAAATAATGTAAAAAATACTTTTATTTTCATTTATTATTTTTATTCACATTTGAAAATATTTTCTTGAAATATATACATTTTTGTAAATAATTTATTTTATTTTTTACACACTTAATATATTTAATATATATATATATATATATATATATATATATATATATATATATATATATATATATATATATATATATATATATATATATATATATATATATATATATATATATATATATATATATATATATATATATATATATATATATATATATATATATATATATATATATATATATATATATATATATATATATATATATATATATATATATATATATATATATATATATATATATATATATATATATATATATATATATATATATATATATATATATATATATATATATATATATATATATATATATATATATATATATATATATATATATATATATATATATATATATATATATATATATATATAATATATTATATATATATATATATATATATATATATATATATATATATATATATATATATATATATATATATATATATATAATATATATATATATATATATATATATATATATATATATATATATATATATATATATATATATATATATATATATATATATATATATATATATATTAAATATATTAAGTGTGTAAAAAATAAAATAAATTATTTACAAAAATGTATATATTTCAAGAAAATATTTTATTAAAAACTTAGAAATAAAACACAAAAATATTATATTTTTATTATTATTTATACTAAAAAATACTTTTTTTGGATATATTTCATTTTTATACATGTTAATACATTTTTGTACATAAAAAATATATTATATTCATTTTCTTAAGGAATTAGGGTTTTTGCCCTAAAAACAAATAAAATTAATCTTTATTTATTTCTTTATACCTTTTACATTAAAAATACTTTTTGCATACATGAATAAATAAAACCATTTTTTTTGCATAATACATTTTATCTAATATTTATTTATTGTATTTTATTTAAATATGGTACATTTAAATATTATGCCTTGCAAATTCAATTTGGTTGTAATAATTTAGGGTTTAATTTCTTGCAAAATAATCCCCTATTCAAATTTGTACCCCCCCCCCCCCCCCCCCCCCCCCTCCCTATATCATGTTGTAATAGTGTAGAATTTAAATTCTCGCACCTTTAAGCTTTCAATTATGCCATGATTAGAGAATTAGGGTTTGTATGCAAAATCAAAACCAACAAATAGTTTAACCTAATCAAAGACAAAAATGCATGAAAATCAAACACAATGCACACTTGCACCCCTAGGGTTACAATCCACTTGTTGCCTTCAAAAATGGGCCATGATATACATGTCAAGTACTTTGGCAAAACAAAAATAAAGCAAAAGATCATAGTCCCTCGTTGACGCTATCTGGGTTGCCTAAACAAAATGATCAAGTCCCTCAAGAAAATTGCCAAAAATACTTGACACTATTGCTATCATGGTCTATACGATGACCCGTGCCTGTCTCGTTTAACATCCTAACACAAGGTTGTTCATCAAACACAATGATGAAACAACACTGTTAAAAGGGTTAAAAAACATAAGAAAGATCTTTGAGTAAAATAGGATAGATAACTCTTAGTTACTTGATCAAAAGCTTGCAAAAACATCCTTGCTATCTTCAAAACACACGTCACCACACAATTTCAAAACCCTACTTTAAAACATTGAAAACTTTTCAAAAGACAAAAACACCTTTGTATACATTCAAACAAGAATCATTACAAAGGTTGCCACAACGATGGCCTCTTTTCAAAACATCTTTCAAAATCACACACAAAGCACCATTTTAAACAATTTAAGAGCACCATTTCAAACAATTTAAAAGCAAAGCAAGTGATCTAAACAAGTAACTAAGAGCCCATGGATAACCATGGATAGAAAGGGTGATAATACCTTCCCTTTCTATAATCTACTCCCCGAACCCAAGAAAACATCTCAAAGGTCTTTCCTATGCTTTTTGACCTTTCCTTAGGATAAAATAAAAAGTCGGTGGCGACTCTTGCTAAACCGAAACATTTGCGAACACGAACGCAAAATCCCAAGTCAGTTCTCCCACCATATCACACTCACGTTTCGAGAGATGTGACTGTTTTTCCGAAGGCAACCAAAGTGGGATACCCTAGAGGTGTATATGTGCATTGTGTTTGTATTCAGTTATTTTTATCTTATGTTAAGTTTGCTAGTGTTTTGTTTTATTCTTTCCATACAATCCTAGTTAGCATGCATCTTAACAGTTAATAGTTTGCAGTAATTAAAAGTGAGGAAACATAAATCTAACTATTACAAGGCTTCGGGGAGGGGATTATTACAAGTCCAAAACTTGATGGAAAATAAAAGCAGTAAATGTAAAGTCCTAGTTTAATTCTATTACATCTCATAAGCAAGTACATTAATATGACAATAAAGTAGAAATATCAAACGCGCGCGAAATGGAAAAAGACGTCTAAAACCTAAGTGAAAGGAAATATTTTTTTTTGTTTTTGTTTTATGTAAGAAAATGTTTAATTGATAATTAATTAAATAATCTAGATCTAAAGAAAAAATTTTAATTATTAAAGAAAATTGAAATTTAAAAAGAAATTAATTCTAAGTTTTTGCATTGTTGTTATGAATAAAAGAAATTAAATGAGTTAAATCCTAGGTCTATTTATTTTTAAATTAAATAAAAGGTTAAAGTTATTATTTAATTAATTTACCAAGTTAATTTAATTAAAAAAAGACTAACCTAAAATTGATTAAAACAGAAATGTTAATTAAAACAAAATAAAGAAAATTGAAATGGGCCTGCAAACAAAATGAAATGGGGGGTGCGCTTCAAAGAAGTATCAGGACTATCAGCAAGAGGGCCCAGGCGCTGCAAAAATAATTAGGGGGTGAGAATAAACAGAAACCCCAGGCCCAATGACAAGAGGGCCCAGGCGCCTGTGGGATCTGCAAAACAAAGGTTAGAAAAAATAAAAATTTGTTTCCTGCATGGGTCGAACCCAGGACCTAACAGAGGAGTGCCCTAAGAAAGGTGTTCTTGGATTCAAGTACCTAAGCTCGCATGTAACACGTTAGATCTACTCAAAACATCAATAGTAATATAAATGCATGCATAAAACTGATTTAAATTACATAATTTAGAGGATTTCAGATTCAAAATTTTACCAAAAATCGTAGGATGGTTATGAGGAAGATTTGGGACGTGTAAGACTTGAACCTGAGCTCTGGAGGACTCTTGGGAAACTCAGGAGAAGGTTGATGATTTTGGTTTGGGTTGATAGTGCCTAGAAGTGAAGTTACAGATTTTGCAACTTTTTGATTTTTTTTAAAGAATTTTGAGAAGGCTTTTGAAGAGATTTTTAAAGAGGAATTTTGTGCTCCTTTTGGCTTGCATTGTTGTGTATTTATAGAGGGAAGATAGGAGTGAACAAACATGGTAAAGAATTAATGAATTCATGGCCTTGGAGACAAGAATAAAACACATTGAAAATGTCTATATTTGTGATATCTTTGCCTCTTTGGTCACTTGCATGAATCCGGTCCCTTTGGATGTATCTTACACAAAAATATGGGCCTTCTAATAGATCAAATCAAACCCAAATGTCATGGTCATTATTCTTTGTATTTTATTTGATTTTATTCATATTTAAATGAATAAAAATTCAAATAAATAAATAAATAATGCACGGATAGACTTATAGGTCCTTGAACACATCACGAACATATTTGAACTCCAAAAAGTTAGGACCAATAACTTAAAATCACAAATTTGCTCAATTGAGATTTCATGCATTTCCTTTGAAAATTTCCCAACTTGTGCAATCCATAACTTGCTCAATTTTTATCCAATAATGATGATCTTTGACTTTTTTGAAAGCCCAAGATGTATACTTCAATCCCTCTTTTAATCAATTTTGAATTTGAAGATTTTATCTTGATTCAAAAAGGTCTTGGCAAAAAGTGTCTTTTGTTGACTTTCTAAAAACGACCTGTAATGTATGAGCTTGTATCTTTCAAATGGTGTATTTCTTGAACTTGAGGATGAAAGAGAAGTTGTAGAGAATTGGATTATCTTTAAAATGAGCTTTGGTTAAGGAAAAATAGATAAAGTCTGTGAAAGTTATGCCTGGTCAAAGTTCAGTTGACTTCTCCCATAGAAACCCTAATTTAGCAATTCTTGACTTTTGATAAATTAAGAGCATTCCTTGAGGAATCGTGATCAAACCTTGATCAAATGATGATTATCACTTAAAAATGTTGATTTTGACAAAAAAATCTTGAAGTTTGACTGTATGTGGGCCACAATTGACTTTTGACCTAATACAATTGATTTTCAAACATTTAGGAAATTGACTGAGCAAACTTGTTGTGCAAGGCATGAAATTTGGCATGGACAATCTTGAGGAAATATTAGGACCATGGAAAAAACTTTAGGCCTTTGGAGATCAAACATTTTGGTGAAAAGTGAAACCCTAGTTGGAAGGCCATTGCTTAGGAGGAGAATTTGTCAGGTCAATTCTTGGTCAACCTTGAGCAATTGAGGACCTCTATGAGCATGTCTTGAAAAATGAGAGGGAAAATTTTGGGGTACAACACGATCATATTACTTTAATGGCATCGCTTGCTAATCTTCACGATGTGTTTCGTATGTCTCAATTGAGGAGATACATTCAGGATTTGTCTCATGTGATCAAAGTGGATGATGAACATGTGAGATATAACATGACTATTGAGAGATCACCCATGCGGATAAAGGGTCGAGAGGTGAATAAATTATGTTGAAATATATTGCCTTGGTGAAGGTAGTGTTGGAAGGATCAGTTAGTGAGAGCATACCTTGGAAGCGTGAGGATCAGATGAAGAAGTCGTATCCAACTCTATTTTCTTCAGGTAATTTTTAGGGACGAAAATCCTTTAAGTGGGGGAGAGTTGTAATACCCCAAAATCTAGATTTTGTATGTCTATGATTTATTGTGAATATTATGTAATTTTATGTTGATATGTTATTGAGTTTTAGTGGGATTAGACGCTGACTTAGAATTATTTAGATTAAATAATTTGTAGTTAGTTGGTTTATAAGTAAAATAATAAAGTAGAGTATTATTGTGGATGATAATTAATTATAATTAATAAAATAATAGTTTTATGTGGTTTATTATATAATTAAAATAATAAAGTAGAATATGAGGATGAGTAGAGATACTAAGGGTATAATAGTAAGTGTGTGGAAATAAGTGAGGGTATAAGGGGAAGATCATATAAATGGTCTAAAGTTAACAAATAAAATAAGGAATAAGGTGTCAGTCTGTGTCATTCGTGAAAAATTAGAGAACTGAAGAAAAAAGGCTAGGGCACAGAGAAACCGAGGAGACAATCATCCATTAGAGCTTGAAGAGGTCGATTTCTAGGAGTTACAAGGTAAGGGTGAGTAATTTTGGTTGAGTATGATTAGTATGAGGGTGTAATAGACATAGGTTTTGTTGTTTCTATCGATTAATGATGAATGGGTATGAAATAATTTGTTGAGAATGATGTTTGATTTGCCATGACCTATAATTGATATGTATATGTTGATGTGTTGTTGTTAAATTCCGATATATGATGATTTTAATGAATATTGGATGATTATTGTACTTGAAATTCGACCTTGGAGGGCCTGCAAACAGTAGCGATCGTAGTCCTAGAGTTGCAGGTTCGCGCAGATTTGTCTGGAGAGCATCGGACGAGGCATTCGCCAGGCGAGCAGGTGGAAAGCCCAGGTGACAGATTGACAGTTGGTTCTTTGGGAGAGTGATGGGCGGGTGGCAATGGATTTCTCTAGGCGATCGAGAGGCGACGATTGACAGTAGGGAATTAAAAGTGTCGTAATTTGAGATTCGTAACTCAGTTTGATGCGCCGTTCGAAGTATTGGGAAGCTCATAAACATAAATATAACATGTTTTAGTTATACAACCTAGTTGATTATCATACATGCTTATTATGTTTAAAAAGGTAATTTTTTATATGTTTTATTAATGAATTGTTGCAATGCTGTGAAAATATTAATGTATGTCTCGTTTCCTATGGTGATTGTTCAAGTGCAATTATTTTGATGGAATATATTACATCCATGTTGTTTAACTTATGTTCTAAATTATGCTGTGACCTTGTTTCCTATGGTTATGGTCTGAGTGTGAGTAGCTAAATCTTTTCCCCGGAGGTTTAGTGAAGTGTTACCTATGGTGGTGGTGGCGATTTAGTGTACTTAGGTTCCAAGAGAGAATCGATCATATGGTGAGGATCATGGAGTAAAGTGAACCTATGTGTTCATATTATGGTACCACATGCATTGTGTTGGTGTTGTTGCATTTAACATCTAATGTGGCCTTTGCATAAGTTGTTGATGAATTGTGATGTGATGATGTTTGTGCTTCTTATATGACTATGTGTGAATGTTGTTATAAAGATGTTGTGTGAACTATTTATGATGAACGAAGGTGTGAGTATAATTTGTATTGATGATGTCGAATTGTAGACTATAATTGCTAAAGTTTACTTTTCTATTATGTATTTTATAATTAATAATGATTATTCACCCCTTCTGTTTGAATGTTGCATTCACGTGGATAACGTGCAGATTCTCAGAAGTAGCGTTGCTGAAGTAAGTGGAAGAATGACTCTTGAAGTGTATTCCATTTAGTTTCATTTAATTGTAGTAGGGTCTTGCTCTAATCATGTAACATCGGAATGTGAATCGTTTTTGTGTTATTTACATTTGTTGATGATTTGTTGGACCTACGTGTTATACAGTTGAGAGTAGGAAATTATGACTCTCTTGTTTATGATTGATTGAAGTTGAAAAAGGTTTTATGAGACTAATGATGTGTTTGATTATATGTTTTAATTGTATTTCGTTGTAATGCTACTTAGATGTGTTTGAATGTTGTGTAATATCCTAGGTGAGTTATCATATGTGTTTGGGTATCGTGTAAAATCTCAAATATAAATATGTGTGATATTTTAGTAATCTGTATTACAGAGCTGAAATGTTTTATATTTATATGACGTGTGACACCATTGTACGGTGATTTAAAATAATTTATTTAAGTTAACTCGTGGGGTTTAGAAGGCCGATGGCAGGGCACCACTAAACCTCAAAATGTCAACATTGTTTGAACGCTCTCTTCAACCTTAACCCTAATCTAACCTCCAAATTGACCTAAACCTAACTGAAACCCTTGTATCTGATCAAACATCAAGAAAGTCCTAACATCTAAAAGTGAAATTAAATGACGCACAAATAGAGAATCGAGCAACAAGCCTAGGGTTTTGATTCTACAGAACAAGATGAAAGCAATGGTATCAAGTTTTAAAATGAAGGGATGAAGATGAAGGACCTACCCACAGGATAGAGGCGTATCCAGGTTATTGTTGAAGTTAACGCATGCACAATGAAGAGAAACCCAGAGAACTTCGACATTCATGTACATATCTTCAATCTTTTTCTTTTGATTACATTTTCTGCTTCTTCTTACTCTACCCTTTATTTTGATTTGTATGGATCCTTCTTGTTTGTTGTTATTGAGTCTTCAGGTTGTTGTCGTGGATACTTTGGGCTATTGTTGTTGATAATTTTGTTGCTATGCTGAGTGGAGTATAGAAAGTTTGAGAAATAGAGATATTTATGGATTGAAAATGATGAGAGGTTCTAGGAGGTTGCAAGGATGAATGGTGGAGCACCACTTGCTTAGAGCTTCAATGTGACGCTCTGAGAAGCATGGTTTTGAGAGTGAATTGGGCAAGATAACTTTAGAGTGAAAATTGATGTTCATTGAAGAATTTTTAGGGGTTTATAAAGGTGAGGGTTGCAAGATTTAGAGGGAATTTATGTTATTCGGTTAGGGTTTAGGTGAATTAGGACCCTAGGATAGTGATCCCAGACTTTGATTTACCAATGGTGGAAAATTAATTTTAAAATGTTAGTTAGGGAATGTGTTTCTTCCAAGGGGATTTTGAGAACCTGTATTAGTTTGTACCAATTTTGGAATGAAATTGTAATTGTTCAGGGAAGTTCGGGTAAGCATCAGGAAAGTTGGTTATAGGAGCTTTAAGGTTGTTGACAGTTAGTTATGAGGCAATTAGTTTGCTAGAGTTTGTTAGTTGGTTAACCGTGTTAGTTAACAGTCAGGGTTAAGGTTAATAGTTGAGGGAGTTAGGATTAGGTTAAAAGGTTAGATCTGAAGTTAATGTGGTTTACATAGTTAGAGTGGGGCTTAAATTGGAATTGGATGGTTTACATAAGGCAGCTAGTAAGTGGACAATTAAAGGTTGGTTAATTGTTAGTTTATGGTTAAGTAAGGTTAATGTGTACTGTTAGAAGAACAATTAGGGATATAATTGTAAGTTAATAGTTTTGGCATGTTAGTGAAGGGTGTATGTAGTTTTCTAACAGTTAATTATATAGTTAATTGGTTGAAGGTGTAGTCAGTTTATAATTAAGTGTAATTATAGGTTTGAACTTAACTGAATGCGAGGTTAAAGCATTTAATGTTGACCATTTTAACTGTAACAATGTTAGTAGGGATTGACATTGAAGTTGTAGGTGTGAAGAATTGAAAGTTAGGGGCTCCATTGATTAACTGCTATGTCAGAGTCAATTTAGGGTTAACTTGACAATTAGAAACTAATTGATTGGAGATGTGCATTGAAACTATCTTGAACGAATGTTTGAGGATGGTTTATCATTGAGTTTCTTTTGATATGTATTTTAAATGTGTACTGAAATGTATGAACCTGTCTGAATAAATTTGAATTTATATGCCAAGCAGTATTGCATTTGTGTGTTATGGGTTGTGCATGATAAACTCTGATTTTAAGTTCAGAATGGTCATTGGCTCTCAATATTGAAATAGTTTGCATAATTTTGTCTTGTTTTAAATTGAATTTGATGGAAAATGTATGGTATGGACTTGAACTTAACATGCATACATGAATGTTGGTTTTGCATAAATGTCTTATTTTGGATACATAACATGGAATGTGTGTTTCTGAATCAAATGAATTTGATATATGCTTGATGAATTGTGTGATGAATGTGAATCGGTGTATGACTGCATCGAATTGCTCGGTTTGGAATGTGTGTGTGTTTATGGTTTTAATGTGAACGAAATTTGAAGGTGTTAAACTGTTATGGCATGAATTGCATAGTGTGAATGTTTGAATGGTATAATTTTAGATTCAATGTGCAGGTCTGTTATATGCATTCAATTGGTTTTCCTACTTGGCATATTTCTTTTTCTACATGTGTGTGTGTGTGTGTGTGTGTGTGTGTGTGTGTTTATTTCAAAAAAACAACCAAATAAAGTAAATCTACAAACAAAGTCTTGAAAAGTTTAAGTTCATATAACAACAAATCAACACAGAAATAAGAAAAAGAAGGTGAATTGCTGTTCTATGAAGAATGAGCAACCTTTTGGAAAGAAGAAATTGAAGAATAGAGGCGTTTAGAGGGTGGTCAGAGCTATTTCTAGCGGTTTGAGGGTGGTCTCGGGTGAGTTAAAAACAAGCAACTTGCCTCAACGTGTAATCAAAAAGACAAACAATAATTCAAACATAAATCAACTCCTAGTGGATCATATGGACACTCATAATCAGAAAAGGGGTAAATAGTGGAGTTATTTTGGTATAACCTTATTTTGGTGATTGAGTATAAGATTGTTGAATATTACTTTTCTTCTTTGTCAATCCACATTCATAACTTCTTTAACAACTTTGCTTTCTCTTTTCTTTTGTTTTTATTTTCTTGTATCTTTCATTCTTTTTGTCATTGGTAAAGTCTTATGCTCTAAACTGAAGAAAAGAAAAAAGAACAAGCCGATTCATTAAATAAAGAAGCAGTATAGTTAACAAAATGTGGGAGCAGAAAGACAAAATGAAAGAAAAATAAATAACACCAATCTATGGATTCCCTCCCATGCAACACTTATTTAAGGTCTTTATCTTGAATGTTTGATTCTCTTTTAGGGTGGTATATATGACAAAAAACACATTATCTTTCTTCTTCCTTTTGTTTTATAGAACACCCATGAATGGGAGGATTTGATAATGTTTCTTCCATGTCTTCTTCAGCTTGATAGTAGCGAGCAGTGCATCCATGAAGAGGTACACACTGGTGTACCACATCTTGTTCATCAAGTTTAATGTTGCTTCCTTGAAGAGGTACAACATGGTGTACCGCATCTTGTTCATCAAGTTTGTCGCTTGACTCAGGAACCATAGATTTCTTCGTTGTTGCATTCTCCCTATTTTGAACCCATACATATTCATTTGTAACAGGTCTGGGTTCAGTGGTCTTAGTTTCTTTAGATTTTTGCCTCATTTTTGTATAAGATTGACGAACTTGATAAAGAGGTAGTTGATCACTTTTGATAAAGATTGGTGTGAATGCACTAAGATGAGCACCACTAAAGATGTGATTTTTTGATACCATTATTGACTCAATGATCCACAACTTTGAATGAGTCTAATATTGGTTCGACTTTAAAAATATCACTTCATCTATTTTGAATTATTTGATTATTTTACATTCGATATACTTTTTCTATATAATTGATTGGTCGTCTCTCCATAGGCGGTTTCATCATACGGCCACCTTGGGCAACTGCCCAAGCTCCAATTTTTTTTAATAAAAAAACAAAAGAAAAGGCCAAAAATTGAAAGAAAAAAAGGACAAAAACAAAAACAAAAATTGTTATATACTATGGGAATTTTAGATCTTTAAATTTTTTGTTCTGGTTTAATTTTCGGTCTTTAAATTTTTTTCCTGAGCTTAATTTCTGGTCTTTACAATTTTTGTTCAGGCTTTATAATTTTTGTTATTCCCTTCATACCTTGTCTATCTTATGAAACTTTGCAGGTACAAGGAGTTGTGGATGATCTTGATCTGGTTATACAAAAAATTGAAGAAGCTGGATTTTCACATGACAGGTTCTTCATCCATGTTGATGGGGAATTATTTGGTCTCATGATGCCTTTTGTCAAATGACTAAGTGCTAATGTTACCATAAATAAATCATATAATGTGCTATATATAACATCGAAACTTCCATTGTTATCTCCACATGTTCTGATAGAGAATGTTGTTGTGTTATTGTCATCTGTTTTGGTTGTTTGCATATTTCATAGCAAGCTGCATTTATGTTATGTTATTCCCTGCATACCTTGTCTATCTTATGATGGCTCATTTGTTCTGCTCATTTATGCATTTTCACTCTAGCAATTTTGTAGGTCTTATCCCAATTATCATATGATCAAGCTTTGCTTTCTTCATATATGATATTTGAGACTTGCTTTTCTAATGTTTATTGATTAACCAAATTTATGTACATATAAGCCTAACAATCATTGGTTTATTTACGTTCGGTAGAAACTGTTCCCTTTATTTCGATTTCAGTATGGGAATATTGTGTTTATTCTGGCCTGGTTATACTTAAAAATGAACAAGATTAAGTTTCTTGTTTATTTGTCAACTCATCCATGTTGAACGACGTGTGATTGTTTGATTACTTAATTGAGAAAATGATAACTATTCCTATGATTACGTGAGTTGTGCCATATTATTTGTTGTTTTTTATCCTTTTACATAGTTGGTTTGTGTAACATTAATAATTAAAATTATGCTTATCTCAGGCTCCAAATGTTACTTTTAAGAAGCCTATTGGAAGTGTTAGTGTTTATGGCCCTAAATTTTTGGGGTGCCCCATTCCTTGTGGGTGAAACTAACAAGATTTAAGCATATCAATGCTCTTTCCAGGAATGTGGAATACCTTGCGTCTAAGGATGCTACAATCATGGGTAGTCCAAATGGCCATGCTCCCATATTCCCTTGGTATACCTTGAACCAGAACATATTACTTTGGTATACCTTGAATCGGAAAAGATATAGAGTGTTATTTTTGGATTTTAAAATATTTGTCATCGAAGAAATTACCAGGTTGAGTCGCGGACTAGGTCGCTCTCTTTAAGACGTTTCACGGCACTGCTCAAAATTATGCAAAGCAGTCGAACTATCGCGCCGCCTCCAGGATAAAACAATCAAGTTCTATACTATACGATTACTACTTGCATGATAGATAATCGGTATAGAAATACATCCTCTGATGGTACAAGACCATTCAAATATGATACCAACACCACTCATAGTATCTGGTACAAAGACCAGTCATAATAATTTCTCAAACAAAAAGAAACTCAAATAATTCTCCGAAGAGAAATTAATAATGGTCATTTGACCACTCATAATAATTTCTCCAACAAAGAGAAATTCAGATAATTCTCCAAAGAGAATCCAAAATATTAAACTTGAAAATTTCTCAACTCAAATGAGGAGAAATTAACATAATTCTCTAAAGAGAATTCAAGAAAATACTCGGAAAATTCAACGAGTAGGAAGAAAGGGGAAGAAGGTGGCGCTTCGACAATTCGAGGGACGCAGAGTTATGAGAGTGAGGAAGGAAAAACTAATAGAATAGTTTTTGGTGTGATTTGGAATGAAACATGTGCACTCCTTATATAGTGAAGTAATATAGTTAATATTTCTCACATGAGCAATGTGGGACTAAATGGTTTTTTCAACCAAAAAAATATTTGAGAAATTTTTAAATTCAACATATTGAAACATGGACATGTTCCAACAATCCCCCACTTGAATTTAAAAAATTGATTTTAGAAGTAACGTCAAACGTTTCTAAGATTGTGCATAAACAAAGGTGTCTACGACTTGAACCTTTGCATAGCAAGTAGGATTCCAATTCAACAAGAGTGACATAAATGTCTTGAACTCTATCTCAGACATCAAACCCGCACACAACCTTTTCTTAAGGTGTATTCTAATAGCCCGTGCTTTAATGGCCCTGCACGTGTATCCCAGTTTAATGAAGGCTCTAGGAATTATGCCTCGAAATTCCATAGGAACCGGCCTAAGTTCCACAATCACATAGGTGAGTCTATCAAGAGTACTCCTGTAGCCTAGATACTCCCTCATACAGAGTATAGATCTCATTAAGAGTTTATATCATCTCATCCTCTTATTACTTCAGGATTCATGCTTTACTTGCATGATCATCTCATATTACTCACAACTTGTTATTACCCATTGAACATATTTCTTGGGATCTCCAGTCATTTAGGTCGGGTTACCATCATGAGCAACTCATTTTCCTATAGGCATTAGTCCCATCTTATATGATGTATTATAGACTTTCTCTCTAGCTAATCGTTTCATCAAAGGATCTGCTAAATTTTCATCAGTGCGTACATGATCCACTCTTACAGCTCCTTTAGAGATACAATCTCTAACAATGTTGTGCTTTCTTCTTATTTGACGTCTTTTACCATTATGATAACGGTTCTCAATTTTTGCAATAGCCGCGGTACTATCGTAGTGGATAAACATAACTGACATATGTTTTTCCCATAAGGAAATCTCAGTTAGCAAGTATCTTAACCAACTTGCTTCTTCACTAACAGTCGCTAATGCTATATTCTCAGGATAGTATGTTTCTTTGATTTCCAAGATACAACTCCTCTAGCTATGTTGAATACATAGCCACTAGTTTCTTTGGAATCATCTGATAAGGTATTCCAATCTACATCATTGTATCCTTCAGGTACAATAGGAAATCTCTGATAATGTAAACTGAGATTCCTGGTCCTTTTAAGGTACCGTATGACTCGCTCAATAGCTTGCCAATGTTCATTACTCGGTCTACTAGTAAACCCGCACAATAATCCCACGACATATACAATGTCAGGTTTAGTACAATCAATGGAATACCTAAGACTTCCAATGATGCTCACATGTTCTGTTTGTCTAACACTTTCACCAGTGTTCTTAAACAGCTTCACGCTTGGATCATTTGGTGTGCTCACAGGTTTACTATCAAAGTAATTATATTTCTTTAAGATCTTTTTCACATATTGTGTTTGATCCAAAGAAATTCCTTGCTCGGATTTTATGATCTTGATACCAAGAATCACATTTACTTCTCTGAGATCTTTCATATCAAAGTTGTTGCACAACAATGATTTCATATCATTAATGGCATAAGTGTTTGATCTAGATATGAGTAGATCGTCTACATATAGACATATAATAGTGCAAATACAATTCTCAAATTTGTAATAAACATATTTGTCACTTTCATTCACTTTGTACACATTCGATATCATTAAGTTATCAAACTTTACATGCCATTACTTTGGAGCTTGTTTTAGCCCACATAAAGACTTATCTAACTTACAAACCTTGTTTTCTTATCCATAGATCACAAACCCTTCAGGTTGTTTCATATAGATTTCTTCTTCTACGTCACCGCTTAAAAAGTTGTTTTAACATCCATTTGGTGTACTATTAAGTTATAAATAACAGCTATTGAAATAAGTACCCTAATGGATGTAATTCTAGTGACAGGAGAAAAGGTGTCGAAGAAATCTATATTTTCTCTTTGTCTAAAACCCTTTGGCAATAAGGCAAACCTTGTATTTATCAATAGTTCCATCAGGTTTTAGTTTCTTTTTCAAAACCCCTTTACAACCGATTGGTTTGCAACCAGGAGGCAAGTCTACTAAGTGTCAGGTCTTGTTAGATTCTAGAGATTATATCTCATCATTGATAGATTCTTGCCATAACTAAATATCCAGAGATGACAAGGCTTCTTGAAGATTCATTGGATCTTCTTCTACATTATAAGCCGCATAATCAGGCCTATAGTCTTTAGCAACTCTTACTCGTTTACTTCGTTAAAGTTTTGTTTCCACATTGTCATTGCTTTCTGTGCTTCTTATCACATGAATGTGACTCGATTGTGTGCCCCCACTATTTCTCAATTTGAAAGGAAATTTGTCTTCATAGAATTCAACATCAGTTGATTCTATGATCACTTTTGCCTTTAGGTCATAAAACATATATGCTTTACTGTTTGCTGCATACCGAATGAAAACACATTCATATGCTCTACTAACGAGTTTAACTCGTTTCGAATCCAGAATTCTGACATAAGTCAGACAACCCCAAGTTCTCAAATAAGACAAGTTTGATTGTCTTTTCTTTAATATCTCATAAGGAGAGATCTTACATTTTGACTTGGGGACTCTATTCAGAACATAGCAAACAATCAATAAAATTTCCCCCACCAGTGAGGAGCAGCATCAAAATTCATCATAATTGCAACAACATGTTCAGTAAAAGTTCTATTCTTTCTTTCTATTTTACCATTCATTGCAAGATAGTATGGTGCAGTCGTTTCATGTACAATTCCATGTATAAAATTCATTAATAAACTAGACTCGTACAGTTTCTCTATCACTATAAATTCTTATTATATCATTTTCAAATTCTTTACAAAAATTTTAAACATATAAACTTCATTCTTCGTAATGATGTATAAATCTAACCCAATAGACTGACTAAACCATGTCTTATTAAAAGAAAACCAGAAATAATATTCTTTCTAATCTTAGGAACATGCATAACGTTCCTTAAGATTAAAGTCTTTTTGAAGGTGAAATTTAGCTCTATGTCTACAATTCCAGCAACATTCGTGGTCTGGCCATCTCCCATAAACACTTTCTTATCTTTAGTATTCGTGTATCTTTAAACATAACACGATCATAACAGACACAACGAGAGACGCAGGTGTCTATCCACCAACCAACATATCCATCAACCATGTTGATTTCAATGGACATAACAATAAATTTCCCATTAGTCAGGTTGACCTGTGCATTAGGGACAACACCAAGTTCAAGCTTACTTCTATATTTCTTAGTCATATGACTTGATTTTCTATAATTAAAACAAAGGGAAACCAACGTCATTTCTTTTAGGTGGTGGTTGTTGCCTAGTTGGAGCTATTGGGAACATAGAAGGATTCCCATTCTTTATTCGATTCACAATATTGTAGTTCTGATTCTTTAATCATTTTCCAAATGGCTTCAGAACTACATCGAATTTCTTTTTGTTGTTTGAAACAACCAAGACTTTTTCTTTTTGATATTGTCTCTAAGATTCCCTTTATGTTTTTTTAAACATTCAAACTATGGGGTAGTTTGTCAATAATAAAACCAATTTGAAATTATTCATTTAAACACATACCTTTTGTGATGATCTTTTAAACAATCTTTTGACATTGCGCCTCCATCGATCTTACATCTTTTCATTTGATACTTAAAGTAGCGGCTAACAACATACTTCTTTGTTTCAGCTTCTACGTCGTACTTCTTTTTCTGAGTCTCTCAATCTTGTTTTGCAGTATCACATCAACTGTAATTATCATACAGATCATCTGCGAGTCTATTCAAAATATGATTTTGTAGAGATCTTCATTCTCTTTTTATAAGGTGATTTCTTTACTATGATGTAAATCGCTTTAATCTGTGCAGCAGATTCAACTTCAACATTATTAAGTGTTCCTTCTAAATCTCCAGATTTACTACCGTTAGTTTGTTCGATTGATCCAGAAGGAGCAACAGAATGTCATCGATCAGAATGTTAGCAACTTTTTTCAATGTTAGGAACTTCATCTTTTGTTGCCAACGTTTGAAGTGACTTCTCTCAAACATGAACGGTTTCTCAAAGACAATATCCGTAAAAGAACCAATAATTTCTTCGGCAGTCATGGCAGTTTGAAATGTCTTAAAATTGTTGTTTTCGGATTTTAAAATATTTGCCACCGAAGAAATTACCAGGTTGAGTCGCGGACTAGGTCGCTCTCTTTAAGACGTTTCACGGCACTGCCCAAAATTATGCAAAGCAGTCGAACTACCGCGCCGCCTCCAGGATAAAACAACCCAGTTCTATACTATACGATTACTACTTGCATGATAGATAATCGGTCTAG